TAATATGCGAGATTATAGAGATTTAATTTTCAATATTTCTTGATGACTTTCAATTTTTGAATTTCAAAAATATAGTAATAAATGATTTAATTGTATTACGTAAGTGATTTATTATTAATTAATTGCACCAAAAATATGGGATGGTTTATCAATTTTTACCTTGATTTTTGGGATAAAGATCAAATGTAATTGGAGATATTTAATGTTAATTAATTTAGGTAAATGTAATGAATGTGCTAATATGCTATAACTAATATTTTTAGGGGCTAATAATTCTAAATGTTGAAACTTTTTTTTTCTCAAAATTCTGAGAAAATAACACCTAGAATTTTATCTTATGTGGCACCTTTAGAAATTTTTTTTGGTTTCTCTCTTAGTAGTTAGTATAATATATACTCCCTCCGTCCCATATTTATTGTCCAGTTTTACTAAAATGAAAGATTTTATTTTTGGTCAAATTTAACTATATTTTACCTTAAACAACCGGATATACCCATACATAAGTAATTGTTTAACCACTAAGATTTTATGGATAATGTTTTTTACTAAGGACAAATGTGTAACTTGATCCATAAAAAGTCAAATTGGACAATAATTTTGGGACAAAATTTTTTGAGCAAAGTGGACAATAATTATGGGACGGAGGGAGTACTATAGATACTATAGATTTCAATTTGATTCACAGAAAAGTGAAAACGTCCAGAAAAGAAGCTGAATTGATTAGTTTGGAAACCCGTCTCGCTTGGTTTTCAACTAGTCCTAATCAAACTCTCTCAACTCATTATTATTTGCATGTAATCTCACTTACTCGTTTCTCGGGGCTTAAACGAAGAGTAGATTTTCTTCTTGATTTCTTCTTGGAATATAGTAGCAGTGTACCATCTATACGCAACTCTTTTAATACATCTCTCTCCCTCGTACCTAAATTGTTGTTTGCAAAGCTGAAAAAAGAAAATTAACAAATTTTTTATGTGAATGCTGGTACGTTTGTTTAGTGCATATGTAAGTTTGAGATCTATATTAAAATAATAAAAAAACTTAAAATTTAATATAGTAGATTATTTTGAAATGTAATACAAATTGTAAAATTGAATGTGTGAATTTTTCTTTTTGTAGAGGGAAACTGAATAATTTACCGAGTCAAAATAGAACAATTCAGGCTGGGTAACAAAAGAAACAAATGTATCCTGAAATGGATGATAGCCCTCTTTGGTCGCGCCTCCAAATTTGTTAAAGAGCAGCAAATTATAAAAACAAAAAAGAAAAAGACAAAAGGATAAAGCCCATGTGAAGTTCACATAGGCAACCATAACTGAGTTGGCCATTGGACCGCAATGAATCAATTAAAGCACTGAGAAATGAAGGACCCTGGTGGAGTTGGTACTTGGTATGCTGAGAAACGACACTCGTCAAGTTGAATCCTTCCCCAGCCCCCCAGTTTTCTTATTAGTTTTTTTTTTTAGCAGTATATGTTGTGTATCTCCTGGCTTCACAAACGTTTCTTTTCGCACCAGCACACGTTTTATCGTCTTCAATTTATTACTCTCTCTCCCCAAAAAAAATAATCACATTCAAATTTTAAAGTTCGTATTAAATTTAATATAGTTTATCTTATTTTGAAAGAAAATAATACTCTCTCCGTTCCATAATTATTGTCCTATTTGAGTTTTCATTTCTAGTTCAAAATGAAGTATACGTGAAATCTTAAAGTGGACAATAATTTTAGGACAGAGTGAATATTATATAAGAATATCTCTCACTTATATATGTTGTTTTTGTCTCGTAATAATTATTGTTACGCTATTATAATAATACTTTTTTTTTGGGTGAAAAATCAAAATGAAGTTAATATTTAACACCCGTTAAATTTAGTATTCATGTTATGATGTCACATTCACCACTCTGCCTCCTTTTATTTTCTATAATATAATAAACTTATATTGTAATGTTTCAACTATGCGTTATATAAATATATGGCGAGAGAATTTCGAGGTTGGCTTTATACCCAACAAATTTAAGACTTTCTCTTTCGAGAATAAATAATCGGCGGGGAGAGTATGTATGGAACTATGGGGTGATCTTCTTGAAAAAATTAGCGGAGCTACTCAAAACTTTACATGTTTCGTTAATTTTATCCTATTCTTTTTTGGTTAGTCAATATTACCCTAAATTATCCAACCATTAGCCGATTTTGTCGAATTTGTTATTTTCCGTTTAAATTAACGGAATTCTATTTGTTTTAATTACAAAAATATCCTAATAGTTTTAAAAATTTATAAAAATAACCCTAAAAATTTATAAAAATTATAAAATAGTCTATTTTCAGTTTTTATATAAAATTTTCTGTTTTTTATTTCTTTTTACTATTTTTCATAACTATAAAAATATACTATATGATCTTTTAAAAAAATATTTATTTTTAAACTTTAATGTACAAATTTTTAATTACATATTTGTATGTCATGTTTGATTTACATAAGCATATTAATTTTTTAATAATATGATTTTACAATAATGGTACTATTTTTTAATCTCTTTTTTTCAATCTAAAGAATAAGATTATTTAACTAATACTAATCTTTCAAAAAAAAATTAAACAATTCGCATAGATTAAAATAGAATCTATTGGTATACTTTAATGTATTATAATTTAATTCAACTGACTTTAGATTGTATTTTAAAATTTAAAAAGAAATCAAAACTAAAAAGGAGATACACTTATTGTATTTTTCGACAACTAGGGCGTGTGGTAAAGACGGTCGTTGGGTCAAAAGAATGTCTTCGGTATGAATGGGAGATCAGTTCGTACCATTTTCTACACTGAAATTAGGTAGTGAAGTTAAAAGTGTATTTTCCTAATAAGTTAATTTTGTTACAAAGCGGTCCTTCCTCCAATTTTTATTGTGAGACATTTTAATTTGTACATTTTCAATACTTGAATTACTTTTAATATAATTTACAGTTTTATACTATCACTGTCTCAAAATAATTATCAATATAAATTTTTTAAGTTTTAATACAAATTATATTAAAATTAAAATTATACACATGACAATTATTTCGAGACAAAAAAATAATAAAACGAAAAATTTAAATTAAATTATTATTTTGTAACAAATGGAATAAGAAACAAATAAATGCCGGTACAAAGTGAAGAAACAAAACTGTATACTTCTATTGAAAATTTGTATGATATATATACATGGTTGGTTTAGGATTGCGAAACATCTCTATCATCGTGGAATGATCCTAACTTATTTACTAATAGATATTTCTTAGTTTCAGACAGTGATATGGACAAAATAGAAATCCAACCAGACAGGAGAAGCCAAACTTGGCCAAAGCATCCGCGACCTCATTTTGATTTCGTCGCATATGCATGATTTCAACCTACTAGTTAAAATTGAGAAGTTCTCTAATTCTATAGAAACGTTGCTATTTATAAACAAGAAGTCCTTGTTCGCCAAAAACTCAACAGCTTTTAAGGAATCTAATTCTAGGTGTATAATTCTAAAATCTAGATTCCGAGCAATTCTGAGTGCGTGAAAAGACCCCAAGAATTCAGCTTCCAACACGTTGCATCAGCCCAAGTTTGCTGCTAAACCCAAAATCCATTCTCCTCCCTTACAGTTTCTGAAGACACCTCCAGCTGCTGCCTTCCCAGACGTTGTTGCCATTATATCGGGCTTCCATTGCATATTTAACCACATCATAATAAATTAACTTCCAAAATGTTGGTTTAGGGCAATTCTCCAAGTTCTGAAAAGCACGTCTGCTAAAGACAGAGGTCCAAATCTGAAACTTAAGAATCTAATCCAACCACTTATTGAGTCTGTCCAGCCCAACATCTTGAGGATACATAGGCTTCAAAAATTTTGGCCCACTCTCAAGACATCTTGTTCTTTTCTCTGCACCAGTAGGGTCTGTTTGTTTCGTTTTTTAGTGTGTATTTTTAGGTATTTTTTGTATTGGAAATATAAAAAAATGTATTAGAAATATAAAAAAGTATGTTAGGATGGGACAGTTATTAATATTAAATTATGAAAAAACCAACAAAAAAAGGAAACAAACAAGATTTTCATTACTTACTCCTAGGTCCTACTATTTCATTAAAATTACGTATTCCGTACTTCATTTCGCGAGTTTCCCTATCTATTAAGATAATCGTAAACTTTTGCTTAATCTTTATATATTTTTTCTGTTCCAAAAAAAAAAAATCTAAATTTGAAAATTCAATGTGGATTTTTCTTGAGACATAGAGAGTATTCTTTCTGTCCCAAAAAAATAGTCCACATTGAGTTTTGAGTTTTATACTATTTTATGTACAAATTTGAAAACTCAATGTGGACTATTTTTTTGGGACTGAGGTAGTATTTTTTATTGCTTCCCATTTCCCATCCAGCACTATTTAATATAGTATTTGTAAGGTATGAATTAAACTAAATAAAAGTTTAATTTTATCTTATAAATAGGACCTAGGAGTAAGTAATAAAAATCTACTAATCCTACAGTTAAGGCCTCAAGGGTGAGGTGTTAAACACTGCATCTTTTCTTTGATGCGAGTGCTGTTCCCTCATTGCGAGCGATTCGTCGTTTTTTTTTTTTTTTTTCTAGATTTTGTTGCTTTATTTCAAAATACAATACATTCTTACATTGATGTATAAAGGATTTCAAGAAAAGAAGGCATAATTCTTCGTGTTACCGAGAGATCAATGATGGTAAATACGGTAAGTCGTAGTAAATTTTGGATTAATGATCATGAAAATTGACAGAATGTCCCATCCAATAATGTTGTCACTAGCAACACCTTATAATTTTGAGAGTAATATATTCCTTTTTCTTTGTTTGGGTTTACGAGTAATATTACTCAAAATTTTAATTTCATAAGTAGTTGGCGTCGCTAGCTAACCTTTACCTGTTCATCACCACAGCGATACAAAGTTTTATCACAACTATCATATTATTAGCCAATGAATGAAGAAACGATATGCACTTTATGAACGGTAACTTGTTTTATCGTAAATGTTGTGCGTCTTACGCATGGAGGACAATCACAACATATATAGAAAGTCATTACAGATTAGAGCCAAAAATGGACCAAAAGAATTCGAGCAGACCAATAGAGAAGGCTCTAAGTAATTTCCACACAAAATTCGAAATATATATAATAACAATGGTCTTACGAAAATTTCACACTATTAGGTACACGATCTGAGTTCTGTCTTCATAGAACAGAGAATAGGTTACAACAAAGGAAAAAAATGAAAAGATCCAACGTTTTGGTTCATTAATTTGAAAGGCTTTATGAGAAGGAGATTATCAAATATTCAACACCCACATAGGGAATAATGCCTCTTTCTGCTTCTCTTTATCTTCATATATGGAATTATGGTTATACTTTTATTTTTATAACATTGGTTATTATCATGGTAACCAGCCAGCCATGTAGTTATTCACACTGGGTCCTGGTGCTGCCACCGTTATTGGATCATTCTGATGATATCTGCAAAATTTTCCCAATCAAATTTGTGAGACCCCCAACTTGAAGATACAAGAAGCAGTCATATATATACTTTTTTTCTGTTCGACAATAAGAGTTGTGTTTGTTGTATATGAGCAACTCAACAAACATGAATCTTTTTTTTTTTTTTTGGGACGAATGAAATGAGGGCTAAATATTAGGGGTATATAAGAGAACATACCCAATTTGTAAAGTAGGTTCACAATCCAAAGGATGGTAAAAGCCATCACCCTGATGAGGTTGACCATGTTGTCTTCCATACCCAACATCCTGTGCATTTGGATTCCACTGCAGGTTTACCTGGTTCCCTTCCATCAGCTGCACCAAAACCAAAACCCCAGAACATGCATATAAATTCCTTTTAAGATCAATATTCTGCAGTTCCCCAGAACACTAGTTTCCATAACCACAATGCCTATGCTCATCATGTGATGCTAAGTGCTAGTTTGCTCAATCAAATTTCACCTTTGTACGTGTTAAGGTTCTTTGAAAAACTTACCCTGTGTTTTAGAGTCTTGTTTGCTTCATTCAAAGCATGTTCCTGCAGAAGATGATGACATCACATTTATTAGGTGGAACAAGAAAAAAAAAAAAAAAAAGGAGGCAGCAAGAAGATTAGATGAATTCAGAGCTGTTAACAATTTAATTTTTCTTTTTCGATCTTCTTAATTAAGATCCTTACCTTTCTCTGAAGATCCGAGAGCTGATCCAGCATTACTTGAGTCTGCAAGACAAATTTAAGATTATACACATGTGATATGTGTGCGTATATTATTATTATTGTAGTCCTCAATTTGCAGAAGATACTTCAAAGCAGTTTTATCAAGATGTTGATTGAAAGTTGATCCTCAAATTAATCAATTGGACTATCTTATGGAAATATTTGTACAGTTAGAAACGTTGATGCAAGGCAGTAATTAAGGTATGAAGTGTGAACAATAAATATTCAGTAGGATCTTAAAATGAATGATGAAAACAGTGTCCAACTCAGGCCATTATGAGATAACAGCATTAATCCATTCAACTTTGGAATCGAGATGTGTTTTGATCCCAAAAAGATAAGACAAAGAAAGAGTATCATGGAGCAGTACCCTTGTTGCTCTGATTTGCTTCAGTGACACATCAAGCTGCCTCTCCAATGATTCAAGTTCCTTGCTGCTTAAAGGTCCAAGGTCCTCTCCCAGAAGATTCCTAGCGCATCACAAGATTGAAGTGAATTGTTATTATTTGAGTTTTGCCATTTTTTTCCTTTTTTTTTTACAGTTTCATACCCATAAATTGTATATGTATGAAACACTAGCTAGTGATCATTAGATTGGAGTACTACCTTTGAGATCTTTGAAGAGCTTCATAGCGAGCTTTGAGCTTCAAATACTCCTGCTGGCTACTTATCTCCTGTAAAGTGCAAGAACCCATAACATTGACTTTACTTTATGGTTACTTTTGCAGCCCATATGAAAATCGAACACAAAGGAAAAAACGTCACCACAACTAAACAGATGAGAAGAACATTCACGTTCCTAATATTTTAGCAAATTTCATCATTTTATACAGTCCAAACTTATCCTTTTTTGGGTCCAACTTTATGTCCAACAGATCATTTAGCGAAACTGTACTCCCTTAAGTCCTTTCTAACTAAAAGAATCAGCAAGAATGAAAAAAGTTGAGCGTTTTGATGCGATGGTCTGTGGAACAACTAAAAGTTCATCAGGTTATACATGTAACTTCTTCAACTCCCAGGTCAAAGCAAGTTTTCTTGAATCAGAGTTTCTTATGCAAATATGATCAAATCAAAGACAGCTTGATTCACTCGGATACCAACTTAACTAGAGCTTAATTAATTCAGTCCTAAACAGTTGAGGTGTGTGCTATCAGTACACTATGATTTGTAGTCATGGCAACTTCAACCAAGTAAACAGTGGTATTCTCTCTTGTAGCATTATCACATTTCTGAAAGTACCACAATTCCATTCCAAAGGCAAAAAGAATGTCACATCAAACCAATTCATTGTTAAGTTCATCCATGACCTAATTTACTTGTCACTATAATTTCCCCCTTTTATAGTGAATTAACAAGTCCAAAAAGAATGTACGTATGTATGTCTGTATAATCTTTTCATAGCAGGTGAAAATTTTAACACTTTTTTGGTAAGCAATTTATAGAACAATTCGAATGCGCATAAATTTGAGATCTTGAAGAGTTGAAGAAATAGTTCCTACAAATCAGATAAGAAACTGTGACAACCAAACAGTTTTTTAGGGAAAGAGGAAGGATTCACCAAGGTAACAAATCTGACTTAAGTAATGACTAAATTGGTTTTAAAAGTTGATATTGTTAACTTAATATTCAGTTTGTTGATTCAATAAACAAACAGAAAGGGGCATTATAATAAAAGATAATCACAGCAGTTCTAATTTACCAGTGCCTCTCTTGCGGATATATTGGGCTCAGGTTGTCCATAGTTGCATTTCTGGTATCTCTCCAGAGTCTTCAGCATGCTGTTTGCAGCACCATTAAAACCAGTCAATTAGCAGAAAAGAGAAAGATTCAACGGCCAAGAGAAAGAAATCACACGAAATAGATTTATTTTTTTAGCAGCGTGTTGTCAAATAACTTAACTTCCTTGTACAATTAACATTAAAAAAAGGAGGAAAAAATACAATTTAAAGATACACACAACCAGCTAATATCCAAAGGTAATTTATTAGATGGGATGCATTTGGATTTCTGTTGGATTCAAAATAGCTTTGCTAATGGTAATAATTGCATGATTGTAATGATTTTTTGATTGAAGAAAACAGATTGATATGAGTCAGATTGGCCTGAGATGTCATATCTTGTAAAAGATGACAATCTTGCAAATTTGTCTTCAGTATTAAAATAATTAAAATGAGCTTAAAACATGAATCTTTACAAAACATAAATAAGCAATTTGTGATTATGAAAGATCAGGCAGATATTAAAAAGTAACAAATTGATGCACAGAATTCACAGCAAGGAACTGAAACTGTATAACAACGGATCTCTCCCTTCCTTAAACAGAAACAAACACAAAACCCTAAATACTTCATCAACTCAAATCCTAGACCACGAGCAAGTCTCACGGGTCTCATCTTAATTATCTCTCTAATTACTTTCGCACCAAAAAAAAAAAGAAAAGAAAAACCCCTCAAATTCAAAGCTTTCATGATTTCTCAGAATATTGTAAGCTAATTAGGCCTTCGTATTACACAGCGGTCAAATAATCAGCAAAACAAGAAGGCAAAAGGAGCCTTCAAATGTATAAATTGTTTAAAGACCATGAAAATAGAAAGTAGGAAGGGGGTAAAAGAAGAATAAATCAGGACAGGAGACGGAAAATTAGGAGCAGATATGCAAAGGAAACAAATCAAATTAAAAACCCTAAAAGATTGAAAATTGGTGGACTGACCTAATTCTTTAATTTTTCTCCAATGTATCAGTTCAAAACTGAAAATTTCTTCTTTTTAAATCTGAAAACAAAACAAAAACTTGCAGATTCTGAAACATCCATCCTAGAAGCTTTTGTAGAAGAGGCATTTACCTCAACCATCATTAAAATGAAACTCGTACTTAGAGAAAAGGAATAGCCTTTTTATGATTAGCTCCCAACAGCCTACATGTAAAGATTCTCTTACACCTTTGGATCAAAAACCAGACGTTTTTGTGATATAACTCAATAGTGTTATTAAAAGAAGAAGAAATGCAAACTCAGTTTTGAAATTGTTAAGAAAGCAGAAAAGAAGAGGGGATGAGAGAGAGCTAGCTTGACAAAACAAAACAAAAAAAAAACTTGAACATAAATATGGAAATGATCTTCTTTTCATGGTTTCCCCTTGCAGATCTAACATCATCCCTAAGCACAAAGTCCTATACACTCCAAAATATTCACCAAAATGGCAACTCCCTTGGCATCAAAAAAAGAGAAAAAAAACAACCACCCTCCTTCCATCAATCCATAAACATTAACCATAAAGACTTCCTTCTATTCCTCTCCTTCCTAACCACAATTCATTCAGATCTCAAAACCCCCCCAAAAAAAAAACCCGCAAAGAAAAGATAACAAAACAGGTTGTACAGTACTAAAATGTACTATATAGGGCCAGGTGAATGACTGAAAGTGAATAAAGTTGGGATTTTTGATCCCTTCTTTTGGGTTGTATACCTAGAGCTACTGCAAAATTCATAGAGCTTTCCTCTATTGGAGAAGATGATCAAAGCAACCTCAGCATCACACAGAACTGAGAGCTCATAAGCTTTCTTCAAAAGCCCATTTCTTCTCTTTGCAAAGGTCACTTGCCTATTGATCTTGTTTTCTATCCTCTTTAGCTCAACTCTCCCTCTTCCCATTTTTTTTCTCCTTCCCTTCTTTCCTTCCTTTCTTTTTATCTTATCAGTACTGACCCCAAAAACCTCACCAAACACAAATATGATAATATCCCCTTTACTTTTGTACTGCTGATTGATCACTTGTGGCTTGTATATATGTTTGCATAAATTTAGAGCCCCTCGGAGCAAACCAAGAAGTCTGTTTTTTTTGTGGGGGAATATATCTTTCCTCTCAGACTCTCTTTAAGTAATTGGTTTGTGAAGATTCTGGATATTATTTCATCAACCTAGCTGCACTAACAAAGAAAAATGATGATGATGATGAGATGATAATAATGTTGTTCTCTGTATGCAAGTGGAGAATGGGTGGGGAATGGTTGTGTGTGCTTTAGGTGCATGGTAAGGTCTCTGTCTGCGTACTTGTGTGGGACCCATGTGGGAGTTTTGGAGTGTAAAAGGTAGATGGGAAAACCTTAAAAACCCAATGAGGTAATTCAATGTTGGTTTGCTTTGATAAAAGTTACGTGTCAACGGGAATATATAGTGCTTTCTTTTTGGTTGAATTCTTGTTATCCGATTGAGATTCTTTTCCTGAAAATTATTAGTCGGTTGAGTTTTGTGTTTGCAATATAGGTGAGATTGTTTAAAGGAGATAACGTGTTATTGTTTAGGTCGAGTTATGATTAATAAAGTGAGTATATTGTGGTTATTATTTTTTTGAGTTAAAGTGATGTTAGTATTATGGTATATATTAACATAAATCGTCATCCTAGGTCTTTGCAGTTAATTAAATACAATGATCGTCATCATGAATCGTGTCATATCTGACGAGAGAAAACGTTAATGAAAACTGAAGAAAGATGAATGATGATGAATGAAGTGTTCAGTCTGAGTTGCCCTTTTGGATTTTCATGGTTTGTCAATTGTCACTGTTCTAGACTAGCTGGAACGGTCCACTTTGCCCTCTGGATAATTGGCGGGAACTACTGGACTACAGTTTTTCTTCTTCTCTTATTACATTTTAATTGTTACTTTTTAGGAAAATGAATGATTAAATAGAAGGTTTGTTCTCCAATGTGCTCATGTCCTACTATAAATACAACACAATGTTTAAGCTAAATTTCCTTATAATTAAATCATGCTTTATAAGTAACTTAATTTGGAAGGAGTTTGAAATAGTGCATGCATGGGAAGCAGGATAATCTGTTTACGCATTTGTGACGAAATTTCAAACGTAACAATTATTTTGAGTCTGAAAAAATAACTAAAATCATTATACGCGGAGATGTGGTGTTTGGTAAAACGAGAGAAGTCAATAATTGAGTTACATGCTTACAGCTACCGATTCAAAAAATTGACCATATGAGATGTTTTTGGCTGCAAGAATCTTTGGGCAACTTTAAAAGAGTAGTATAGTACATGTATACGAGAATGACCTTTTCTTTTTTTTTTCTTTTGTCACTCTGATTTTGACCTTACAGCATAAGTTTGGTATACTAAATAGTGGGGAAGTGATTAATGATTAATCACGAGAAATATGTACCATTGTCGAAAGGGCTCTATCTATCCCGTGTCCAATATTAAACGGCGTTAGTTTTTAACTTCTAACAATACAGTATCTTTTATCAAATGACCTCAATAAAACATTTCCAAAATTATAATTTGCAAAAATACGCTTCTTTCTAGAGTAAGGTTCTTATTGTGTATCGCAAAACGTACACCCCTTTACCCCCTACAGCAGTTAGTTAGTTTTTTTTTTTTTTTTTTTTTTAACAAACTAAAAGTTGATGAATGAGTAAACTAAAAGCAAATGAAATCCTTCTCAATAAAGGCTGACTTTATCTCTGAACAATTTATCAGAACTAATTAGGGAGGGTTGCATTTTCAGAACACCCAAATATGCAAATGTTTGATGCAAACCATTTTAAGTTAAAGGCTTCTCAAGTTATGGGATGGTCCCCTTTATTGTTGAGACCATTCGGTACATAATTGACAGCCAAATTGGCTGTATGCTACATGTTGTTGTTGGTAGATGAAAACATATTAAGAGCAGTAAATTTCCTATGGGTCCACACCTTCCATGATTGTTAATGGTTTCAAATTAGCTTAGGGTTTTCTCAATTTTATTTCCCATTTATAGTGTTCCATCCGAAAAAAATAGTCTAATTTAATGAACTAAAATAATACAATAAAAATAAATTATAATTTTCTTAAAGACAGAACTAAAATAATACAATAATAATAAATTATAATTTTCTTAAAGACAGAGAATATATCGTACACACTCTAACCACTTTTTTTTTTAATATAAAAAAAAGGTTTGAAAATAAATTTCCAAACAATTTTTTTTAAAAAAGTAATGACCCCCGCCACCATCCCCCCCCCCCTCCCCCCGCGTGTGATTAATTATAGAAGGAAAATGATGAGTGAACAAAGTCAAGTGCTCATACAACAACCAGCAATCACAGAGGGAGTTATAAAAGCCGGAATTTTATTATTTATTTTAGAACAAATACGTACATAATTAACCTCTCACCTCAAAATGATTGTTTGGTTTGAATTTTTAGTACAAAATTGTAATATGAACATGTTTTCCAACCTCCTGAAATTGAATTTGATTATATGCCCTGCTAATCTAGATATATACTGTATATAGGCATAAAGTAAATGAAATCACAAACAATATACATACAAAGTACGTACATGTGAATGGTGGATTATTCGTGGAGTTCGAAGATTACCTATTCCTCCAAAATCCACTTTCAATGAACCTAAAAACAATAATCAGTAAACCAAACTTTGACTCCTTCAGCCAAGTGCAATTACACCTAACCTAACCATGCATTACTAAGTTCTTTCAACACAATGTAACTCAACCACTAATTAATTTTTCCTCAATAGGGATATTGATACTCGTCTAGGTGTTAATTTTTCACCCTCACTATGTGATGAATTGATGTTTTGATTGAGCTATATATATGTATCTCTCTCTTCCTTTGTAAAAAAAAAAAAAGGATTTAAAATTATTTAAACTTATTATGTGCGAGTACGAGGATATATATATACTACTATCTGCAAACGAAGCATGTCAAGAAAACGAAAAACAGCAACAAGATTAAAAAAATAATTTAAAAAAATGCTGAATAAAACTTGCTCAATTTGTTTAATTTGGCAGAAGAAACATGGTGATCAAACACCAATCTTTTATGTCTCGCGCCATTTAAGAATAAAGACAAAATTGTGGAAGTATTTCATAAATGTGGTGAAGTAATTTGAAACTTGCAAAAATACATGTATGCAGTACTACACCCCCCCCCCGCGCGCGCATAATAACCTTAAAAAAGAAACAACAAAAAAAAAACGAGGTTTACCTAAATTTCATATGAAGATTAGGGATAAAGGATATACTAAAATACTCATGTTAATCCATTCCTAATGAAACATAAAGTACGAATTAACATGTAACTGGGGATATTCTAAATACGCAAAGAGTATATATGGAATCCATAATGTTTCACCAAATTGAGTTTTATTCTCTGGTCTGCTGCGGATAAGCGATGATCATGCTATTTTGTCGTGTGACCTATGCATTGATCTTAATTTGTGCTAATCAACTTTGCTCACGTACGTTTTAGTTATGATTTCTTTCCCTTTTCATAATTCTTTTTAGCATAAAGTTTTTTCTTGAGTAACTAAAGTTCTCCAATTATTATTCAATTTTAAAGACGAAAGTTTTTGTATGAATAACGGTGATACCGACAGTTAGTTCCTTGTAAGTGCCAACAATCGAATATTCTAACTACATGATTTATGGGAAAATGGTTTTATTAAGCGAATTAAACAAATATATGCATGAACCAAAAAATGATTAACTAATTGTGTTGATTTATTATATCGAACTCCCCCGATATATACTTATGAAATAGTATTATGTTCACCTCCACCGGTTTGAGGAAACTATCAATGCCCTAATTAGATATAGCGAGTTACCTAACGTTTAGAGACTATAAAAAGATAATAGATGACGCCGTAAGCATAAATTTGCATGCATTCATACGGCTTCTCTTAATTATGGTTATTTTTCGATGAATTCACAACCTTTTTTTTACTATTACCTCTATCCAAAAAATAAAGATCCATGTTTAGTTTTTAAATTTGTATTATAAAACTCAAAATTTTATGTGAACTACTCCCTCCGTCCCATAATTATTGTCCACTTTGCCCAAAAAATTTTGTCCCAAAATTATTGTCCAATTTGACTTTTTATGGACCAAATTACACATTTGTCCTTAGTAAAAAACATTATCCATAAAATCTTAGTGGTTAAACAATTATTTATGTAGAGGTATATCCGGTTGTTTAAGGTAAAATATAGTTAAGTTTGACCAAAAATAAAATATTTCATTTTAGTAAAATTGGACAATAATTATGGGACGGAGGGAGTATTTTTTTAGGAAAGAGAATTATTACTTTGCAAACAAATTGATGAGGGACAAACAACGTCAGTTAGTTTAATTCTTCAAGACAAATTAAAGGGGAAACTAGTAATTCTAAAAATTAACCACGAGGGAGATCGATGGACATAGGTAATTAATCAGCCAAATTCATTCTGATCAAAATAGTAATCCTTCGATTAGGCTAACATGGCAAGTTTTATATAGTGATACAGGCATTGGTCAGCTGGAGCAAAGACAGATATATGATCAAATTGCTAGTTAACCTTTATTTAAGTGTGGTTAATGTGAAGTAGGTGTTCCATTCCTATTAATCGTCTTGACTTGTACTTATCTCGACCCATCTTATAACTCATGACTAATTTGAATTGCATACAATTGCGTGTTCTAGTGTGATCATTACAGTTTAATTACTCAATTAAGATAATACGTAGAGAATTGTTCTTCTTTCTTGGTGTGTTTGGAAGCTAAACTTTCCTACCATTGCCTCAAGCTTCAAGAAACTTCATGTGAATTGCCAAATCAAATGGAAATTTGTTAACTAATTAAAACATTGAGATAATTAACATAGTTGTGGTCATTAATTTGATGCTTGCTTTTATAAATGAAAAATAAATAAGAAAAAGAATGATGATATAACCAAGAAAATATTTATAACTAGTCTTTCGTAATCTCATTTTTCACATGTTTTCCAAAAAAAAAGGACGAAGAAGGAGAAGAAGATCAACAGAGGGAACCCTAGACTGCATTTCCCCATTTTTCCACCTCCCTTTGACCCTTTTGTTATATACTTTAACCAAAAAAAAATGGTAAACAAAACTGAAAGACAAACTAATTGTGAGTAATATACTTAGATGTTTCCTTGAACTTCAACAGTCAACACGATGGAAATAAATTTGAAGTTGACCAGCTAACAGATAATAGTTGAAAATAGAAACACGTTTTTGTTTATTTTAATTGCCAAATATAAGGATGACCTAAGAAATGTGGTATTTTCCTAAAAATGCAAACGTTCACACATATGTACGTATGTAATGGTGCATACCAAGAGGAAGATTCAATCAAATATTCTAATGTGAAACCTTGAAAATTTAAACTAAATTAGCGTATATATGAATATGAATTCGCATTTTTTTTTTGTTTAATTTCTTATATCCAAATCCGTCAGAAAATAATTTTAAACATCGAATAAATAGTAATATATCAAAAACCCAATCTACCAAATATGTGTAACTTGCAAAGTTGGTGTCTTTATCGGCTCTATCCTATGAAAATATGGAGCAAAGATATCCAGACCACTTGATCATTATTTGGTTTCGGATGATGCTAACTACAGGAGGAATTGAACCAAATTTGGTCTGCCAATGACTAATACTTTCTTAAGTTCGCTAGAATTAATTTGCACTAGGAACTGACTTTCATTTATCTAAAAGAAAGTCATTTCTTAGTCTTAGTCAACTACCGAAAACTGAATGTTATTAACGTTACTATACAGATATAAAGATTAATTACATTTCACATTATACTCACAGTCTCAAAAGAAGATCCTTTTTTTTTTGGGAGAATGTGTGTATGTTACTACACTTTTTTCCAGATTAGATTTTTATTTTTAGTACAAATTGAATTAAAAATGAAAATTTAAATTAGACAATAATTTTGAGGCAGAGGGAGTACTAATATATAGACCT